CCAGGACGTAGGTTTGTTTAGAGTGACCTTCTCTTAGATGGATTGCCTTACAGGGCTAACGAGCTCCATCTGCCCGGGGGGCTGGGAATCGAACCTGGGTCGCAGCGGTGAGAGTCCTGCACCCTAACCACTAGACCACCAGGGACCCCACTAATAGATCCTTATACACAACAGAAATTCTCATAACAGAGAGCCTGTATTATATCTGCATTATAGATATCCCATTTTAGTTTATAAATGTGAAGACACCACACCACACCTTTTTTTTCTCAGTTATGACATTGTCTCCCTCTTCTGTTATGCTGAAGTTTGGTCCTTTGCCTCACATTATAATGGCAAGTCCAACAAATACTTTTGCAACAAATTTTGTCTGCTGAATGAGATTTGAACAGCAGTTCTGTTTACAAATCTGTAATCTTTGTCCCCTTTTACTGTCTCTTCCAGGCATACTGTTCATGCAAAAATATATGTGAGATGACAAATATCCTACTCTCTTGCATTTGTCACATTACCATACTGGGTGGACAGCAGATGTTCACAGTTTGTTAGAAACTTCTATAAGCAAAGGTCATCTTTTCCAATCTTTGCATAAAATACTTTTCCCTGCAGTGTAGCATGTGGATAAGGTCCTCTACACTAGGTCTTTAGGACTTCCTAAAAGCGTTCACGAGAATCAGTTTTTGTGGGTAACTCCTTCTGCATCTGACTGCATAGATTTTTGCAGAAACAGCCTTACAGTCGTGCTGTACTGGCTAATAAAAGTAAGTCTTTCTCCCATTGAATTAAGTGTATTTATTGTCCCATTGAATTAAGTGTATTTATTGACCCTCTACTTGCCTCTGAGAGCTGTTAAGGCTTACTCAAATCTTAAACTTTCACATAGTTGTAAGCTGATGTACCCAGACCTGCCTGAACCTCTGGTACTTGCAGAATGGGTGATCTAAGTTCTGCATTCACCACTAGATTTACCACTAAACCACCCAGGCAATTTGATAACAGATGTGCAAGTTTCATTTCACTGGCACAATCACAAATCATCTCCCTCTAAATTCCATCTCCAGCTTATGCCAAATGTGTTTTTTGGACAAATCTCTTTTTTATCTGGTAAATTCCCTGTGACTCAATAGATGCACTTAGCCTTGTGAGTGCAGTCCTCCAGACAAGCAAAGGTGATTAAAAATGGCTACAAACTGACCCTCCTTTCTCAGAAGCCCCTGTTTATTTATCAAGGTGTTAAAGGTTTGTGTGGTCCAGGTAGTGATAATTAATAAAATTGAAAGGCTCTGTATTGGGTTTATGGCTGCTCATGACATGAATGTTCTGTGGTAACATGTTAGAATACTCTGAAACTAATGCTTGCAGTGAACTGTCAAATAGTGATTTTCCTAAATTAGATAGGGATAGGGAAGCAAAAACTAGTATCTGCAGTTTATTCTATTACTCTCTATAAGTCTTCTTACTGGAATTTTAAAGCAAAATATCCTCAGTCCTTGACAACATACAGGATCCTGAACTCCAAAGTTTATCTTATAGGAAAAAGAACAAGTCATTTTACAAATTGATTACAGTTTATTTGGTCTTTGCCAAGCAGAATACCAAAACTAGATTTAAAATCCAACAAATAACCAAATAAATCTTTAAAAGTTCCTTAAGTGAAGAATATGTTATTATTTAAGCAACTAATCAATAACTTATTCCTATCTAAAGGCATGTCTACTGACATGGATACAACTGTAAATAGAGTGTGCACCCACATGAGAGAATGCTAATGGGTTTTATCTTAATTTCTGATGCTTTAAATTATGTCTTTTATCAAAGCTTTTCAAAGTTCAGTGAAACTTCAGTGAGATGAAGATGCAAACTATGGAGATTGCACTGAGATATTACTAATTTTCAAACAAGAAAATACATGATTTCTTGAATGGCAAGATTTCTTGGTGAGGTATCTGCTATGTGTATTTGCATATGCTTATATAGACATATATCTATGCATGTGCATATCTTTTAAGGTTTTGGTAAGAATCCCTTTCACATCTTCTGTACATAGGCAACACATGTCCCTGATTAACTCCAGCTCCTGGAATTCAGATACATTTGACAAGAAGTGGACTTCCCACCAAATGAGAAACCACAGTTCTGTGTTTGGAAGTCATTACACATCTGTTTCTTATATGTGTTACAGCATGACTCAAACAGAGATGCAGAAACTGGTTTTGCAGCTTAAATAATTTTAGATCTCTTTTTTCCTCAAGTCAACCTTATTCTCCTTAATTTAAAAAAACAGCTTTACCTACATTCAGTCTTGCAGTAAAATCAGTGACAGTCAACCAGAAAGGACCTTTTTTTCTCTATTTTAGCTACAGAAGTAAAGCAAAATAGCTAATCTGAAAGAAAATATGACAGTTCAGGTTGTGGATGAGGACATGTCTGTCTTCTGATGGGATCTCTGTATTTTTAATTTCTTACACTTGTACAAAAAAAGGATAAATTATTGAACATCTGACTTTAAACATCTGAGTGTCCCCTATGTATTTTCTCTCAACTCTGAAGTCAAGAAGTGCTGTAGGACTCTGAAGACCTAAACTACACATGGCATAGTGAGGTGATGAGCAGGACTGTTTAAAACTTTAAGACCAAGTGCATCACTACTTAAGTGCATTAGCAACCTTAACATGAGAGCAGTCACTTGTTTGTATTTTCTTTCTTCATATCTGCTTTTACTCCATAGAAATCAGGGGTTAGGTGAGACCAGGTCTCTATCATTAATGCACTGCACTGACTGCAAGCTCAGAGTGGTGTGGAAGATCTTACTATGGAGTGCAGGAATGACCATCTTCAAGATCCAAATTCATGTAGTCAAGGATGAGAAGTCTTCTGCCACGGCCCGATGGAAAGGAATAGGGACGCAACACTGCACAAAGGGTTCTGACAAGGTGGAAGGTCAGGGTGCAATGGCCACTTTGAGGGGAACAAGGACTTATATAGGGTTCGGATGAGGGGAGGTTTGATAACTGGGGCAGAGCATGGGATTGACAGATCTCAGGGCATCACAGGATTGGGGAATGAGGGAAAGGTGGCAGGAACTTGGGAGGAGTTGAGCAGCAGGGACCAAAGGGAGCTCACTCCGCACTGCAGCACTCATTGGCCAATCAGTGTGGGATGAGCGGGAAAGCAGAGGAGAACAAGGTAGTAAACAATTTTTGGCAGGAAAACCTGAGGGCAAGTTCAGACAAGCCCTAAACAATACAAACTAAAGTGATTAATACAGGAGGGGTACATAAAACATGGGATGAACTGGGGATTTACACAAAAGTCCATGATTTGTTGTCTTCTCTAAGACTTATCCATATAAGTCTCTCCAGGCTTGGAACCGTTCCCACTCGCTCTGGTGTTCCTCTACAGTCTTCTGTGTTTGTCCTCTCCCAACTGAGATTCTTTCCTATTTCCCTTCCACACTTGTGGCTTTACAATCTCTATAGCTGAAAAGTGTATTGTTTCCAAAGCATTCCTTTTCTCTCTCACTATCTCTCTTTAAACTGGGTCACCTAATCTGTTATGGACAGGCACTACAGCCATAGGAAAAACAAGTATTTAAACCATTATCTGCTTATGCACACTACAGGGGGCGGGGAGGTCAGGGAAGATAAATTCTCTCACTGTTTTGACTTTCACCAATAATAAAGGATGCTAAAATGACTCTTTTTAGACCTCGTGTATGTTAGGTAAGCCTTGTAAGCCCCACTCTGGCTTTTGTCTTGCTGTCTGACACCTTATTAGCCTAAAGAAGAAATATGGGATGGCTCCCCAGGCAAGGGAAATGAAGATTAATAATGAGCTCCATTAAAGTTATTCTCTTTCTGTCATTCATATTTTCTTCATTCAATTTTCCTATTAAATGTGAAAAACAAAGACAAGGGCTGTGCACTTCTCAATTTTTTTCCTGCAGTCTCTGTGGATGGCTGGATGTTTCTCAGAAGAAAGATCCTCTGGCATCAAAAATATTTGACCTTCCATTTTCATCCTGAATAATTTTCCACATCAATAGAAGAAATAAAGGCTTCCTATTGTGACTTCAATGCATGCATATCAACTTCTACCAGGGCATGATGTAATAAATCAGAGCCTTTGGGCAAGAAATTCTGTGCCAAATGTCTCAGAGTTCATGTGCTCCCTATGTGGCAAAAGGCAATTCTTCCATAATTCTCTAGTTATTTAAATGGATTAATATGCCAATGTATTTACAATCAGTGCAAGTACTACTTACAAGATTTTTTTCTGGTTAACAGCTAGACTTTTAAAGTATGTGTTTAACTCTGCTCATATCCAAATTAATGAGTCTTAATTGCTTTTCTGAATTAGCAGGTGAGTAATATGAAGTGTGTACTTTAAGTGTACTTTTAGAGTGAAAATTTGTGTCAGGGTCTTGTTATAAATTCATTTTAAGTCCTGTAAGCCATAATAATTTTTTTACTAAGCCATGCATTTTTTTATTAAGCCATGACACAGCTACTATAATGCAAACTGAAGAAGAGATTACATCACAAATTTAAATAAACTGCCACGGCCCCGAGGGGGTAAGGGATAGGGACGCAACACTGCACAAAGGGTTCTGACACAGCAGAAGGTCAGGGTGCAATGGCCAGTTTATTGAGGGGAAGAAGGACTTATATAGGGTTTGGGTAAGGGAAGGTCTGATAACTGGGGCAGAGCATGGGATAGACATCTCAGGGGAATACAGGATTGGGGGACACGGAGAAGGTGGGAGGAACTCAGGAGTATCTAGGGAAGGGGACCAATGGGAGCTCACTCTGCACCCATCAGCCAATCAGTGAGAGATGAGCGGGAAACCAGGGGAGAGTAAGGGAGTAAACAACTTTTTGGCGGGAAAAACGTGAGAGCAAGTCCAGACAAGCCCTGAACAATACAAACCAAGGGGATTAACATAGAAATATATGTGGGGGTACATTAAACATGGTATGAAACTGGGCAATAACATGAAAGTCCGTGAATTTTTAGCTCTTTCAGGCTCCATATAAGTCCCTCCAGGCTTTGAATCTCTCCCAATCACTTTGATGTTCCTCCTCAATAAACTGTGCAGGTAGAGTAGTAATATTAAGAATAATATACCAGGTAAAATTAAGTAGTATCACACAATCAAATATTGTTTGCGTAATGACACTAGCAAGCAAAACCTTTTTGAATATTTTCTAGTATTGAAATTATATTGGTAGCATTTCTAAATAAGCTGAAAATGTTATCTCCAGTAAGTGGTGACTGAACTAAAATACACCTAAGAACACAGGAGCATTAAGTACTACCCAGGTGGAAAGCCATTTTGTGTGCATATACATTAGAATTGATCATTTGAGTGGATGAGGGGCTGTCCAAGGACAGGGCTCAGTGAAGAAAAGCTCTTAATAAAATCAATGTAACTAAGATCTGAAGGCAAATTACAAAGAACTTTTGTTATCCTCTCTGTCTCAAAAGAATGTATACCCCTAGACTGTTTGACAAAGAAATAGAAGGAGAAACTTGTTATTTTGAAGAGAAATTTACTCTTGGTGAATTGTGTCATCTTTGCCTGACATATGAGAGAAGTGGGAACAAAGGGACCTACTGAGAATACAAAATCTTAAACCTTTGTTTTTCTTCCACTGGAATAAATTTTAAATTTTGGGTGGTGGTAGGGAGAATCTTATTCATGTTTTCTGTAGGAAAAATAATATACTGATAATGAAAATACATTCTAACACTGATACTGGCATTGACCAGGAGAGGAAGAAAAGGCAAAATAGGAGAGATGTAAGATGTGCCAGAACATATATCTAATCGTGAAAGTGCAGCATGAAGGCTAGTATTTCACCACTTGATGTCACTGTAGCATGTTATGTTTGTATTCCTTTCCCAGCTCTAGTTGCTGTTGTTGCTTCTGTTGCTGCTGGACTAGTTTTCTATTTATTTATTTTTATTGTGGTCATTGCTGCTGTTTTTAATCAAGAGTGAAAGGCAGCAGTCAAACTGGCAGGTCCTAATAGCCCTCAAATCTCACAATTAATCTTGTTGAGCATTAAACAAACAGCATAAAGCCTCGGGCACCAAACTGATTTGTGATAAGCTGATTCAGAGATGGGTACAACTTGCACAGTTCAAAGTTTGGAAATCTCTTAAATCTGCTAATGCCAGTACTGGTGAAGTTAGGTTCACAGTCCTCTTCCCTTTACATCTACACCCTTTTCCTTCTTCCTAAAAAAGCTGTCTCCTGACACAGACACTTCTGTGCACCTATTTCTCTCAATCATGTAGCATTTCACACAGAAACACTTCCATTTGAAAACTACTCAGACTATAAACTCGTTTCAGGCAGTGATTGTCTCTGTGCTATGGAATGTCAGATAAAGTTCCGACCTTTCCTAATGCCCCCTAGGTATCAGGAAAATGTGCTAAACTTTTAATGAATTGAAGAAATAAACAAAGAAAAATAAGAAGATGCCACTAAACTAAGAATATCCCAAAATTGAGGCTAGCAGATGAGGGTATGCTGTACCACTGATGGAGTAAATGTATCCCTTGATTCCCACATGTAGCCAGCTGCAAAATTACTTATCCAAAGGTTATAGACAGACAAATGTTTAGGAATTATTCTTTAACAGATCTGTCTCAGCTCTTTTCTCTGCTGTCTTTCCATGCCTGTTGTGGTGGGTTGACCTTAGCTTGTAGCCAGGTATTCACCAAGCCCCCTCTCTCACCCCCTCCTTAGCAAGATAGGGGAGAAAATAAGATTAAAAGTTCACCATCCTCCCCGTGCCATTCCCACACTTCAGCATGGACTCTCTCCCATGGGAGACAGTCCTTCATTAACTTCTTGTATGTGGGTCCTTCCCACAGCCTGCAGCTCTTTGAGAACTGCTCTAGTGTGAATCCTCTCCACAAGGTGCAGTCCTTCAGGAGCAGACTGCTTCAGCTTGGGTGCCCATGGGCCAGGAGCCCTGCAGGGGTTGCAGCTTCCTTAGGGCACATCTACCTGTTCTAGCATGCGATCCTCCAGGGGCTGCAGAGGCACAGCTGCCTCACCATAGGCCTCACCACGGGCTGCAGTGGAACCTCATCTCCAGCACCTGGAGCACCTCCTGCTCTTCCTTCCTCACGGACCTTGATCTCTCCAGGGCTGCTTTTCTCACATTTCTCTCACTCCTCCTTCTCACAGCTGCTGTGCAGTGTTTTTTATCCTTTCTCATACCTACTACCACAGAGCTGATACCACTGATACCAAGGGGCTGAGCTTTCCCCAGGTAGTCCACTCTGGAGCTGCCTAACACAGGGGCATCCCATGGTCTTTTCTCACAAAAGCCACCCCTGCAGCCCACTCACTACCAAAACACCGCCAGCACATCTGTCTTTCTGGCCTCAATTATTTGCTGAACACATGTATCTTCGCACTTCACTCCAGTGGTCTCAAAGTAAGAAATGTAAAACAGAAGGCTGCAGTTAAAATTAATATTACATATATTAAGTGACTCGACTTCCCTAACACATAATTTTCTTGTTTTCAGTTTTGCCTTCAGACTTTGGCAGTTATGCTACATTGCCAAATTTATTTCTATCATCAGCCTGTGCAAGAGAGGCTGAAGTGAGGGATTAGCCATTGGTTTGAAGGCCAGTAAGACGACCAATGTTCAGTTAAGTCCAGTTCCTAAATTACATAAATGGATCAATAGAGTATTGGCAAAGATACAGCCTCTATGAAACTAATCAAATGGATCGCAAACAGAAACAAATAATGCTCATAATTATCTTATACCGTCATAGTGAGCCAATTAACATACATCCTAAGCCATGTTAATGTGGCTTTGGAGGATGTTAATTATATGCAAATGTTTACATATTTTGATGATTTGGAGAGAATGGATAAAGTAATAAATGAACTGGGGAATCTTCAGCAGATCTTTACTGTCATCTTCAAACTTCATCCTTTTGCAGGGTGTCCTGACTGTACAACATAGACCCACCTTTGGGCCTGCCCAGCACCAAGGAAACCTACCAAAACCATTGCAACAGTCTGCCTGTGGAAAACAGCCTGGTGCTTTCCAGGACAGCCTGAAGGGCAAGACTCCACTACCCCAGACCGAGAGGCACCCCAGACACTGTCAGCGTCATTCCAGCTGTAGTCCTGGTCTGAAGAAGACCAAGGACTCACCAGCTCACCACAGGCAGTTGCCAACAGCCGAAGATCAGCTGGATCAGGCAAAACACGAGCAAATGTCCGTGAAATATGAAAGTTAAAACGTCACGGGAGTGGGTTGTCTTCTTTCTTTCCTTCCTTCCTCTTTTCTTTTATGGGTTGTCTTCTTTCTTTCCTTCCTTCCTCTTTTCTTTTATCTCCACTCAACTGGTTAAATCAATTGTAGTAAGAAGACATCTTCCAGCCCCCAAAACATTACCCTTATTGAGGGATTTTGTTTCATTCACTCTGTAAAACTACTTCAGGATGTTAAATGTGAAATCCAGTCTCCCTGTCTCCGTTTTTATATGCTCAGGATGTTTTTTCTTTTAAACTTATACATTAGTTGAGGCCACAGCAATATCTTTTGTGAAGGTGACCAGGGGAATGAAAATGCTGATAGGGAAGTGCATCTTTGTTTTAACAAAATCAGATGAAGGAAATGGAATAACATTATAAACCATGTCAGGCATTTTTGATTCCACAGTGTGCAGCTGTGCCCTCTGAAAGTACTTCCTGAATCCTGCAGAGTTACAGTGGGTGGTGAGGTATCTCTCTGGGGAAATGCAAGTTTCATTAAGCCTCTTCTGGGTTTCTAATCCTCAGTTGTAAATTACTAAGGTACAGAAGCCAAAATGCTGCATGAGCCTGGGAACTTCCTTCTTTGCTAACCCCTTTTCAAGATAGATTTTTGATTATGTAGAGATTTGGAACTTTTCCTCAAAATAGGTGATACCTGTTGCCTCTTTGCTGTATGACACATGTGCTTGTTCAGGTGCAGGTAACACCACACCACCCACAGCAGAGTGCAGGATTGTGTTTCTACCTGTGTTTCAGACCAAGATTTTCTGACTACTTCTGGCAGGCTGCAAGACTTCTATGCAATTATAAGATTAAAAACCTGCCAGTATGCTCTCCTGTGCACCCAGACTCAAAGTGATCCATCATAAAAGCTACACTTTTTTTTTTTCCTATCTTTCATAAAGCCCTTTGGATTGCTTGACTCTTCTGGGTGCTGTAAATTATATTAACTGGAGAGCGGAAAGGGAGGCTTTGTGAGATGAGGGTCTAATTCTCTTATTGCAGGATATGGTGCTTTTTCTCTGTTTATTCTTTTATTTCAGGATATGGTGCTTTTTCTGCATTAGGCCTCTTGAGTCTCTATAGACCAGGAGTACGTGATAATTTAAGATCATGCAGGTGCTCATTCAGGAAGCAGCTGACCTAAAATCAGGACTGTTTTTGAAAAGGTACTTGTGTCTCCAATCTGTGTTGCTGATAATATTGTGGGAGACTGCGGGGACTGCCTGGGTCTCTTGCCTTGTAGTGAATGTTGGTGGCTGAGCAATAAACTACAAAAGAGACTGTACCCAGGTAGATACAGGAATCCACATTTGTAGTCCATCTTAAAAATACCTGTGCTTTATTCAGATCACTGGTTTTTCTTCTCACATGCTGTCTCAAGACAGAGAAGCTAACAAGTTAGATGAAAGGTGCGACTGGTATCTCCTGTACTAAAGAAAATCCTGTGTAAGAAACTTGAAAAGTGCCAGAAAAGTATCCAAACTGCAGCTTTATTGAGTAATCTTGTTAATAACAGATGTGAACTATATTATTCATTGACCAAAAATACTTTAGATTTATAGCTTTTCTCTAAAACGTTGAAATTCCTTCTGAAAAATACAAGGTAGGTGGGAATCATATTTTCCCAGCCATTAGATTTATTGAGAAAATGAGCATTAGCTTGGGATTTCTGTCTACATGTTTTGTTTGCTTATTACTAGGAACTTTGTGTGTTTATTATTGTTAAACTTGAGGCCTGGTATTTTGACATAATAGTGATGAATTTTGGGTGTAACTGATACTCAGGCCCAAATCTTTGCTGTAAGGAGGAGTAGTATGTAGAAAAGATTTGCTTTCAAATGATAACAGATTTGAAACCTGGGAATAGTGTGAAAACTGAGGAAAAGAACCCAAACAGAACAACAACAACAAAAAGCTGCTTAAAAAAGTGCAACTGATGAATTGGTATCTTTTTATTACATTGTTTAAGAACAGAAGAGATAAAGTTGTCTAGCTAAAACAGCGTGTTTATGCCAAACTGTATTTTGTACTTGATTTCAGTTCGCCCACCTTCACACACACACATACATTACTCTCAAACCAAGCAGGCAGCTGGCTGTATATGGAAGAAGATCACATAAGGTCTCTGCTTTGCAGAAAAACCTGGGAACTATACGCAGGTTGTGTCCTGAGAGGTGGTATTAGCCTCGTGAGCTAAAGTGGCAGATTTCACTTGCAAAGTTGGATATTAATGTAATCAGTAGACATGGATTTACAGTAATTTTCTTTGCAACACTTTGACGTGGACTAAAACTATATCATCTGTCTGTCATGCCCTTTGCTATAAGAAGACATTTAAATACAGGCTTTTGCACTTAACCATGGAGGTTGGAGATTTCCTGTGTCAATACTGTAAACACACTTTGTGCATGGTACTGCTATTTTTTGTCATGTATAACTTTCATAATTCTGGGTCACTTATCATGAACAATTTTGGTTGAAAAATGTCATCAATCAAACATCTTCAAATTCTTTTGTATTTTTGCTCAGGGAAGTGCCCTACTACTCACAGTGTATTCTTGTCTTATCCAGATCTGAACCATTATTTCACTGTCTTAGATTTGTTCCAAAATGTACATCCTCATGCTCTCCTTCATTCGTCAAGAAGCAAACAAAAACTCAGGGAAATTTTCCTGCAGCTTCATAGGGGTATATAAACTCACACTTCGTATTAATATTCATAGGGAACACTTGAGTAAGTAACATGGAGTTGTTCCTCTACTCCTTTTTCATAGAGGCTGAATGGTTTCTTCACTGGATATCAGAATGGCTTTCATATGCAAAAAGCTCAGAACACTTTCTAGCTTTGTGACACTGTCTGCTTGTACTGCCATTTATTCCAGTACTAGGGAGTTCAGTCGCCATAACAGTGCAAAAGCTTCTGGCATGTTTTCACCAGAGGTTCCAAAATCCAGGCCCTGTATGGATGCCAAATTAATGCAAATACTCTCATGAACAAAGAGGACAAGCATGGGCATTGGTGAAATACAATCCCCATGAGAAAAAGGTGTAACTATAGTGAGTAAGGGGAATTTGTAGCAGATAAAACATGAGCTAGAAAACTGTAAGCAAATGTATTTTTTTAGAGAATTTGATACTAAAGTTTTTTTCTCTTGGTAGCTACAAACCTTGTAAGCAGGTCGTGTATTTATTTGCAAGCTGCATAAACATATTAGATAAGCATAGGAATGAATGTTGGGCTGCTTAGTTAAAAAGTGATCATAAGTGCAAAAATATAACTGACTTCTCACCCAGACAAATCTACCTGTATGAGCTGTCACTTCTGCCTCATCTCTCCTCGGAAGAGAACAAAAGTGAAGAAAGGTGTCAGAAAGCAAAGAAGACTCAGGTAATGTAGAGCTCGTGTTGAAATGGAACATGAATGGCTGTTGGTATCACAAGAAATACATGAAGAGCTTGAGAACATATAGTGTGCCTTAAAACAAGTTTTTGCATCTTTGAGTAGACCTGACCCTGGATTTGGCACCTCTCTTTTATAGATGTTATAATAAACTCCAAAACAGAAGTGTCGTCTTATAAACTGCTCATATTATGAAGCCCAGGTATATGAGAACGCTGTGTAATGCAATAATCAATTCCTTGTTGTAGATTTGCATTCATAAGAAAAATAACATACAAAACTGCTGCAACAGCTAAAAAAACAAGTCTTGGATGCATTTTCTTCTCTAACACTGGCTAGAAAAATGGAAAACTTGTAAAATGAGCAGTAAAAAGAGTTCCTGCAGAACCCCCAAGCTTTTAAGGATGCTGGAGAAACCAGCTGCTTTTGTTTTATTACTGAAACACTGATAAAAAGTAGAGAGGTTTGGAGCCTTTCTGGAGGACTAAGGGGTTTTCTGAGGAGAAAGACGCATTGTGCTTGGCTGAGGTTTTTTTTATTCTGGATTGCAGCTCCAGCCACAATTCTCACACAGACTGTATATTCTGTAAACACTCTTTGTGGAAAGTATTACACTTTAATAACTGTTTAGATGTATAGGTGGTGAGAGTACTTTACTTCTAATTTTCCCATTAGCTTAAGGTTGCTTCAACTGCCTCCTTTTCCATATAATTCTTCACTCATATATGTGAAGCTGTTAAATCATATTTCTGTGTGCAAATCACTGGAACAAGATCTTGACCTATAGCTTTAGTGCTTTTCAGGTAAAATATAAACAGTGCTTTGGTTTTAGATCATCAGCTTGTTGGTTAATTTTAACTCAACTAGGAAAAAATAACAATCTTTGTCTCAAATATATGAGCACTGCAGAAGTACAGAAAGCAGCAGCAGAGAGAGAAAAAATATTATGCAACAGAAAGTGAAGAGCTGCATTGCACTCCTACCCAAATCATGCAGCAGCAGCTATACAAATCTCATTTGGTTTCTGTCCTGCCTTTTACTAGGATAAATTAGGTTTAATGGAGTCCTACTGGCAAGGGAAGGTGGGACATCAGGCTTGAGACCAGAGTCTGGTGAAACCAAGAGAACTTTATCCATTCGTTATTTACATTGGCTGCCTCCTCTGTCTCAAGTCTTTAACAGAAGTAACAAAAATTTATGAAGAGGTGAACACCTAAAAGGCACTAGCACAAGTTTTTCTTCTCTCCAACAACTGAAGAGAAATATTTCTATTCTGGTAATCAAACTGTGGATGGCCCAGTAGGTCATGTTATCTTGCTTGAGGTTGAAATATTCTTATTTCTCACTCATGCATTTGAGGTAATTATGCTATTGTGCTTGTAAAAGTGACAAGATAATGGGACAGCCCATTTATCAAAGCTCTCATTGTTCTCGTTATAGGGCCAGTTTCAAGCAACATTCACTTCTCCGAGCACACATAATACTCAAAAGATCCAAGATCTTGAAATGAACAAAGCTGCATCCTTTTCCTTTTTTCAGTCATGGTGTTCCATACAGAGGGACTTCACTTCCAGAGGCCATCAAGACAAGTGAAATCAACATAAATGCACAGGAACACCTCGAGGTGCTGGAGAAGACAGAGCAGGGGAGCTGAACGGCCAATGCAGATGTGATTTCCTCAAAATGTTTTGTCTTAAAGCTTATCTCAGAGTATGATGAAAACAAGTGGTGGGAAGAAAAAAAGCCTAACAGACACAGAAAATACAGCCATTAGGCCAAACAGTGGCAGTCAGATAACCTTCTAAGGCCAGTTTCTGAGGTGCATTAAAACTGCAACAGGAAAAAGGTAGGACTGGGTTTATGTCTTTGTGTCCAAGGTGTAACATTATGAGCGGTTGGCCCCAAATGTCTTCCAAGAATGTGCTGATTCCCACTGTGAATCTGGAGAGCTTCCTTTGGTGAACTGCAAACTTTCTGAAGACAGACTGTGGCTCTCATTTGTGTTTCAGTGGTGTGGTTGAAACATCTGAGACACCCAAGGGCCCCTTGCAGCAGAGGAAACCTAAACCTGAATGGGTCCAGTGAACTGTTTCCATCAACCAAAATATGGCCATTCCTCCACAATTTTTATGCAGGTATAGGCAAGAGAAAGAGAATTCCTACTCTGAACTTTGTCTTTTCTCTTCAGCAGGCTGTCCATCTTGCTTTGCTTGAACTTATTTATTTTTTTGTCTTTAAGCATTGAAAAATCACCTTTTGCTGTTGTTCCTGTTACATAAAATCACCAGTGCATGCACAATTAACCATTGTAGGGTTTTCCAAAAGAAGTCTCCCTGGAGATCCCAGTAATGGGAATGGTTTAATAAACACAACAAAACTTTCATTTCTGGATATCTTTGACCAGACAGGCTGGTTTTGTTACTGAATGTGCAACAAAGAAGATCTGATTCTCTGTAGCTAGATGTGCTGGTTTAAAAAGTTAACCAGCAGGGGAAATGAACTCAACTCAAAAGAGAGATTATAAGTCAGAATAACAATTTATTAAAATAGTACAATAAGTACAATTATACAGACAGACAATTGGTCTTAACCCACAAACCCAAATGTACAACCCAGTACCCTGGGGCATGAACAAAGCGGTGTTCCTTGGGCCCCCCCCGAGTCCAAAGTAAAGGGAGAGGGGGGAAAAACCTGTTGGTGGGAGAGGTGTTGCAGTCTGGTCAATAGTGGTGATTGCAGTCCAGTTGAGGGTGGTGAGCTGCAGTCTGGTTGAGAGCGGTGAGCTGCAGTCTTCCTCTGGATCGCACGAGTGGTAGAAAGGTTCTGAAACTCCAGGTTTATATATTCTCCAGTTCAGGCAGGAATGGTCAATCCTTCCCTCAGAGCGGGGAATTCCATAAAAGGAATGGTCAACCCCTCCCTCAGAGCGGGCAATTCCATAAAAGGATATGAGGACAGGAACATCCCCCCACAGGCAGCCCCCCCCCCCCAGTTTCTGGGAAATGGCATGGAGGGCCATAGAATACACAGTTTTGGGCTACACCCATCCAGTGACGAATCGGTCCCAGCTGTTCTAACTAGGACACTAGGATAAAGAAAAAAATTTTGCTTGTGTCAATATATTGTAGTTAGAATTCAGCTCAGTTTAGTTTAGTAGAAAAAAACACATGTTCATTGTTGTTGTTGTTGTTGTTGTCTTTGGAAATATGCCACTATAAAGTAAGATTTATACCTGGAAAACCAGTAAGAACTCCATTTTTTACCCCACTTCACTGGGAAAACATTCTTTGAAAAAAAAAGATTTGTTGAAAGGGAACTGAAGGAAGTAAACTGCAAATTTTTCAGTGTATCTCATATTCCTGCTTCAAGATGTTAGAATCTACAGCAGTGAAATGCTGTTCTATTATCCCAGACAGGTTTTTTCTACACGCACTGTAATATCAGCTGTGTAATTGCTATTTCTCAGTGACAAAGTCTCAGCAGACCATTTTTTTTCCCATAATTATGCATTTCAATGACAAAATTTTAACATACCCTTTTATTTGTCCATGGCACTGGAATCGAAAATAAATATGGACATAATATTTTACCTTCAAGGGACAAAACATTTTTCCTTCATGAAATTGGTTATTTTTCTGTTCCAGAGAGAGAGGACAGTCAAATCCAGGTTCTTCTCAGAGACTCATCTTTTCATGGAATAATTGGATATGTATAACTGGACTTTGTGACTTGGACAGTCTGAAACACTCCCAACAGTGCAGCACCAGAAGTCCAAGTCAGTATTTACTTTACCAAGAGCAACCTACACAAACCATAATTAAAAACCTCCAAAATTTTCAGGTTCATTTAATTGTTTTACAAGTACTGGAATGCACTGGGGAAAAAAATGAAATATTTTGGCAATTTTCAATTGGTTTCCTGCTGGACTTCTTTCATCTACATGTGGCACATCTGTGTCACTTCAACTTGGAGAGCATTGTTACAAGTTCTGTTTAATGAATTAATAATTGTCTATTTATTTCCAAGTGCAAACATTTAATCCATAGTTTTAACATGCTACAATGTCTATAATATTGTATCACTCTTAGATAGAGTGACCAGGCTCATTTTTCTTTCCTGCTCACATATTTTTATCAGCTAGCAATTAACCTTCAGTAAGTGCTTTATTGAAACCAAACAATTAGTTGTCATAGTTCATTTGAAATGAAAAAGTATTTCCAGAATATCTTTTGTTTCACAGGACTTTTCAATTAAACTCTTTACTACACAGCCTTTGAGGCTGCTGTCACAAAGCACAGCAATGCTGTGAATAATAATAAAGGAAGTGTTAGGAAGAAAATATTAAATGGAAATAGAAAAGCTGACAATTGATGATTAAATGAGCTCTCAATGAGATCAGGATTGAGATTAATTTATGGGGTGGCCCCCCAAGTGTTCTATCACTCCCACTCTATAAACAGGACAGGTGAAGAAAATATAATGAAATTATCATGGGTTAAGATAAAGATAGATTACTTATCAATTCCCTTTAGAAGCAAAACAGACTCAATTTGGGGAAATTAATTTAATTTACTGCCAATTAATTGTAACAGAGTAGAAGGGGGGGAGGGCAGGGAAAGAGTAAAGAAAATGCCTACCAAAAAAAACCAAAAAACCCAACAAACAAACAAACATGAAACAACAACAATAAAAACAACAACAACAACAAATAAAACTTCAAATCAAACAAAAAAACCCCACTCACATTAAAACATCTCTACTTCTCTGTGCCTAAAAACCTAAAAGCTCTCCTTATGAAGACCTAGGAGACTGCTTCACATCTCTTTCTTTAAAAGGTTGTTTCAGTATGACCTCGGTTGAAGTGCCATGCAATTCTTGTGCCTGTACACTCGTGTCTTTCAGTTTATGGCCACTTTAAAGGATTTAATTTTCACTGGGATTTCAGTTGCATATTGCAAATGCATTGGAAGGGTTCAAGGTCAATACTCAATTTTCACTAACTGGTATCATAAAAGTCCTCTCTTAATGCAGCTATTTGTTATATTTTTATATATTTGTATGTTTTTAAAGTGTTTTGATTAGTTTTACCAACCAAGAATTATTTCATAGAAAAAACCCTGTTGAAAAAGAAAATATAGAAAATGTTCTTTCTGTTCTGTTTTCACATTGAAGATGTGGAGCACTGGCACACTGCCTTCAGCTTAGGAATTCATGGCTTTTAAATAGGTATTTGCAGTGCTGAATTTAGAGTAGGATTATGAATTCTCATGACATGTAACTGCGATTTCCTGAAAAGTTTTTGCACTTCTTCAGGAAAACTAAACCTACACTGGACACATCAGATCATCTTTCATCCAGTGGGAGCACAGATGAAAAGCATCAGGTTACTACTCCCCTCCATGAGGTTCGACTCCATCCCAATGAGCAAAAGTATTTCTGAATAATCCCTTTTCCAAATGGACATCCTGTTGGACTGGGATAAGTTGTGCTGCTGAACAGACTGTATAGTCTTACCTCCACAACTGAATTCTTTCCAAAAAATCCTGGAGGAGTCCTTTCTATTGTGAATTCAACTTGTGAGGTGAAGAAGCCATGACAACCTCAGTTGCTTTAATTAAACATATGCCATGAAATAAATTTTCTCCATCTGTTTGACTTGCTTATTAGGGCAAGAATGGAAAACAGAATGGATTTCACAAACAAATCAGCTAATTAGGTGTCTCAATCTAAAGAGACTAGAATTTTTGCTAAAGAGGATAAGTTATGAAATAGACCAAACTCCTCTCTCTCAGCAATTGTGAATCCAAAATTAAGGGGCTTTAATCGAGGGCGTGTGGAAAAAACCAGAAGAAATAACAACCCTTTATTAAAAGATATATATATATATATATTGGCAACAACAGTAACAAAACACAAAAAGAGTCTGAAGGAAACTTCTTTGTCCCTTAGCGCAGTCCTAATCGTTGCCTGCAGGGGCGCTGTTGGATCGCTAGAGGGGTAGGGCCTGCAGTACCCTGCCCTGGGCAGCGGGGGCGCTGTTGGGCTCCGGCAGTCACCACCGGGAAAAAGGGTTCTGGAGGGAGCGGTCCTGGACTGCGGGAGAAGCCGGGAAGGAAATGGGGGGCCCCTTTCCTCAATGGAAGGAAGGGGTAAGAAAAAAAGTTCACCCCCCCAAGAGGACTCACTGTTCCCAGATGGTAGTGTTCCAAGGCTCTCCCCTCTTTCTCCCAGCAAGCACAGACCTCTCCGATGAAAAGAAGAAGAAACGACTCGTCGGTCCCGGCGGGAGTTACGAGACACTGGTGGCGCAGGGCCGGTGGTCAGGTCTCACCAGGAAAACCAAGAACCAGGAAAAGAGAGCTGGCTCCCAGGCTTTCCTCTAGAAATGCCTGAAAACAGTCGCCGTCCCTGTCCTGGCCAGAGCACTCTGCTGTCTCCCCCCACCGAGAGCCCACAACGCCGTCTGTCCCACCCCCCTCAGAACAGAGCCAGCCCCTCCCTTTCTCTCCAGTCTCTCTAAGTGGCCCATCAGCAGAGCCAGGGTACATCTTTTGTGAGGCTAATGACCTCCCTTCCCGCCCTGCTCACTCCGTTTTCCCTTGGAGTGGGGCAGGGGAAGAAAAATTCCCCTGAATTTCTAATCTATAACATTAGGTTACGTTTTCTGAAATCTGTGCACACTGTCTAGTCAGCCAGTAAATGGTAAAGAATGGGCTGTAAACAGGGATTGTCTCGAGGAATCCCAAACAAAGTCACTTATTGCTGCAAGAAGTATGGAACTACCCACTGGAGCAAGGGAGGAGTAATTTCCCACAATTTATTCAACCCAAAATTTAATCAACTTGGTTTAAATAATACTGCACATTTTGTTGTCATAGATATGAAAAGTATTGGCTACAAACTCAGTAAAACTGCAATGTCATAGAGTAAATTTTCTGCAATCAGAGTTGGATCTTTTGATCCATCTTTTGAGCCTTATAAGCCTCATCTTTTGAGCCTTATCTGGTCCTACATTGATGAGGCTCCAGTCACATGAGATTGGAGTAATATAGACAGCAGCTACAGTTTGCAGAAAGCAGGATTGTGCTTTGTTCCACTTGATCATATGAGTTTTGGGCATAATTGGAGGCAATATTTTGAAGGTGATATTATGCTCTTTCAAAGGGTGTTTTTAAAGCTTTCTTTGTTAGCTCAGCTGGTTTTGGGAAAGGGAAAACTGAAGATGTGCAAAATAGGACATCAAGGGCACCATGACCGAGATCAGTGTTTAAACAAGAACTTCTCTGTTGATTCTCTACCAGGCGCTGTAGGTGCCTACTGTGGTGAGGTGGGAAAACAAAATGTCCTTTACAGCTGAACCTCCATTAAAGATGGAGATGGGAAGACATGTCTCCATACAGAAAATTCATATAGGAAACCCAGATATGAGGTTATGAATAAACTGGCTTTTGTTTTGGGGTTTTTTTTGAGTGAACTGTACTGCTATTTGATTTATCTTCTTGGGCCTGTTTCTGGACATTTTATGAAGTGCTTAAATCAACTCCTCTTGTCAAGTGTAAACTGAAAGTTGTAGGGGTTTTTTGCTTTTTTTTTCAGTTATGCTCACATAGAGAACTCCTTCATGCAAACTACTGGAAGATTACATCTCCCTTCTGCCACATTTTAAGACTAAACTTCATTCCAGAAACGCTTTGTAATTCAGATAAATCCTGCAGATATGATTTAATTGCAAATATGATGAAAAATGCATCATTAAACTCAATGGGAAATGAACTGACAACAACACAGGAAAAAAAGCACACTCTGATTTATCTCATTTTCACTAGATCTCTTGAACAATCCTGAAGCACTGCAATAGAAGTGCCATGAGGGATCAGATTAATAATGATGGCAATACAGGGAAGGAGCTTTAACTGTTCCTGGTCTTTCTTCGACTTTGTGCCTATTTTTCTTTCAAGTGTAGACAAGGGGAAATTTAAGGCCAGGAGTGAAATTTTTAAGGAAAGTGGTCATCCAAAGATGCAGAAAAACATCAAGTAGTGTTTTCAAAGGCCTCACTGGGTAATGGATAATGAGGATGGCTGGTTGATAATGAGAGCTGGCTTGCAATGATTTTCATTGCAGTGAAGTGTCCAAGCACTGCAAATTAGACCACAAAAAGGATTTAGAATAAGGCACTATAGTCCTGATACTTTGCAGTCCTCAGGTAAGATGATCTAAAATGCATAAAGGAAGAACAGTGTCCTTGAATAGGCTTGTTAAAAGCAAGAGTGAAAAATTGCATCTCCTAAATATGTTAGGTTTTCAGGCCTATGCCACTAAAAGGGCTCCAGGAAAAGGAAAGCTTGGTTGTAGTACTCTATTTGACATAGGCTCCTCATTAAGATAAATTCTTCTCACATTTCCTTGGCAAAAGGAACTTACTCTTTCCTGATATTGCAGAGGTGTTGTGGGTGATCTATTACTGGGTGGCAACAGCTTTGAGGTAGGAGAGGAATGTTGATTGGAGAGCTGGTTGTGTTCAATTCACAAAACGGTGTCTGATCACCCCTATAAAGCTGATCCATTTCTGTATCACAATGACAAAAGGCTGAGGATTGTATATTAATGTGTATACAATGTGTTTATATGTGTATGCAGTTGTGTATAGATGTAGACATTTATATAGAAATTTCTATACTTACACATATTTCTTAGAAACAAGGATGACAACAGAATATCATTAAAGACTGTGCTTTGCATTTGATTTTAGAACATTGGAACATCCTGCAGCAATGGGGAAGTATCTCAGTATATGATGGTGTGCTCGTGATCTCAGAGGAGCTCAGGTTTCTAGGCCAATGATTTACAAGTGATCAGGACTTTTTCTCCTCTGACTCTAGAAAATCTGAATTATGTTGTTCTTTAAAAATTGGCATGCAATTGATTTTAAGAAGGCAAGTAGGAGATTAATCTCAGGGGAACTGCAACTCTGGCTGGTGATGCTGTTGTTTACAGAGGGCTATTTTTTCTGGTATTTTTAAAAGTAATGTTATGCATTCTGTCATCTAGGAAACCAGCTCCTTATTGGCCATGAGAGAAATTCTCAAGATTTCCTGCACAAATTGGTTTTGATCATAATCTTCTTTAGTACTTTATGTTCTCACATATTTGTTCTCTACATGTGAGCGTTCGCCTTTCAAACCTCCTCATGTGCTTGGAAAGGCTGTCACCCAACCTATCTCCAACTTAATGGTGGCAGTTCAACTGCATGGAAGCTTGTTGGTTCCTGGATGTCTGAGTCAGCAGTGCCCTGGCAGGCAGGAGGAACAACCATGTCCTGGGGGGGGCATCAGGCAAAGCATTGCTGGCTGGGCTAGGGAGGGGATTGTCCTGCTCTGCTCTAACCTGGGATGGCCTCACCTGCAATACTGGGGCAGTTATGGGCACCACAATATAAGAAAGATATTAAGCCATTAGCAAGTGTCTAAAGGAGGGCAATGAAGATGGGGAAGGGCCTTAAGGGGAAGCTGTGTGAGGAGAGGCTGAGATCATTTAGCGTGTTCAGCTGGAGGAGATTGAGGGGAGACCTCATTGCAGTTACAGCTTCCTCACAAGGGGAAGAGGAAGGGCAGGCACTGATCTTTTCTCTGTGGTGACCAGGGACAAGACCCGAGGGAATGGCCTGAAGTTGTGCCAGGAGGCTTAGGTTGGAAAAAGGTTCTTCCCTCAACAGCCTGGTTGGGCACTGAACAGGCTCCCCAGGGCAGTAGTCACAGCACCAAGGCTGACAGAGCTCAAGAATCGTTTGGATGATACTCTCGTGCACATGGTGTGACTTTTGGGGATGGTCCTATGCAGGGCTAGGGGCTGGTCTCGATGATCCTTGTGGGTCCCTTCCAACTCGTCGTATTCTGTGATTCTGTGACTAAGGGATGCAGCTGCTGCGTGTACCATATTGAGGTGTCCTTTCTTGCCTATCAGGCTTTGAAAGCATATAAAGAACTCACATGAAAGAACACCCTGACTTAAGACAACCTTAATATATATCCCACATTTCGCAACACTCATGCCGAGGAACCCGGGACCACACGAGCCGCTGGCTTGGGCTTCCATCCACCGCTGGCCGGTCCCACACGAGCAGACCTGGCGCAAAACGGCGGAACGGCCCGAGACGGGATAACAAACACCCGGAGCATCCCCGCCCCGGATGGACGTCAGGTCCGCCCCGACGCGGCGCTCTGCCCTTCCGCCGGGACATGGCGCTGGAGCCGCGGTGCATGGACGGCGATGTGGAGGACGGAGAGCTGTCCGGCTCGGACTCGGACATGCCCGGCGCCGGCTCCCCCGGGCAGGTGAGCGCGGCGGAGCGGCGGCCGCGGGAGGACTGCGGGAGCGCCGCTCCGGGATGCGCCGGGCGGGGAAAAACCGGGACGGCGCCTGCCATATGGGGAGGCCGCGGAGGCCGGGTAGGGACGGGGGTTTTCCCGACCGGGAGCGCTTTTGCTGGGCCGAGAACAGGCTGGGGCGGCCGGTGCGTTGCCGGGAAGGCGCTGGGACGGCGGGCGCGAGGACAATGGGGACAATGGGGACGAGCCGCTGTGGACACGCATGAGAGCCCTGAGCGCCGGATCCCCGGGCCCAGCAGACCTCTGGCATCCTTCTGATTCCAAATAGAGGTAGTGGGAGGGATTCCTTCGCCTTCCTGATGTCTCCCGTCGTTTTCACGTTGTGTGCTCCCCACGTGGATCGCTGCATCTAACTCGGGGGGTCCCCAGCGCAGGAGGGACATGGAGCTGCTGGAGACAGTCTAGAGGAGGCACTAAGATGATCAGAAGGATGGAGCAGCTCTGCTGTGAGGAAAGTATGGGAGAATTGGGGTTGTTCAGCCTGGAAAACAGAAGGCTATGGGGTGACCTAATTACGGCTTTATAGTGCCTGAAGGGGCTACAAGAAAGATAGAGAGAGACTATTTACAAGAGCATGGAGTAGCAAGACAAGGGGGAATGGCTTCACGTTGACAGAGTGTAGGTTTAGATGATATATTTGGAAGAAGTTCTTGCCTGTGGGGGTGGTGAGGCCCTGGTACAGGTTGCCAAGAGAAGCTCTGGCTGCCCCATCCCTGGAAGTGTCCAATGCCAGGTTGGACAGGGCTTGGAGCAACCTGGGCTAGTGGAAGGTGTCCCTGCCCATGGCAGGGATTTTGGAACAAGCTGGTCTTTTAAGATCTTTTCCAACCCAAACCATTTTGTGATTCTGTGAGGATATGAGGAATATTGTTCAGAAAGTATGAGGTATTTGTGGTGGTGTGCGGGCAGGGAAAGATTTCAAAGTAAGACAGTTCACTGTGTGACGCTGTATGTATAAGGAACTTTATTTTCTTCAGTTGTTTTATTTGCAATATACTTGTGAGATCTGAAGCACAAAAAAAGTTGTTACGGAAGTGTTAGAGGGTTTTTTTGATTTCTTGTGGTGTTAAGGATTTTTGCATTACGTTTGAAGTTAAAGGTTTCTGTTCCATAACATGATAAAATAAATTGAATACTTCTGTTTTCTGTTTGATAATAGAAGGAAGAAGAAATGGTGCCATAATGTTGACAAAAGCAGTAAGGTTAAAGAATTTTCATTTTACCTGAAAGTGAAGGAAGAGATCTTATTCTTTTAGAGAACATAGGACAGCATATAACTTTATGATGGGAAATTAGTTAGAGAATAGCTGGAATTATGTATAAGTAAAATTTTTAGCACAGAAAGCATGGCCTAAAGTTCCAGCAGTTGGGAATAAGAATTCAGGGTTATATTACCCATGGTGTTTTTGCAAATTGTGCCAATTGCAGCAGGTTTAGCTTTCATGATTTAGTTTATCTGTGAGAAAACAGCATTTCTTGAATATAGTGTATCAATAGAATGGGTTTTTTTGGGGGGGTGTCCTAATTAATAAACCATAATTAAACTACAGTGTATTGTTGGTTTAAAGGAGAAAAAACCTGTGGTTCTGGAAGGTACTGCTGTCCCCAGCTGGATATGTGCTGTCCTGATGGAACCAGGATCACAGTACACAGTTAAATTCACAAAAAAATTCCCAGTGTTTTGGATTTAGTTTTGGGATTTTTTGGTCTTCTCCCTTGAGACTCGAGAGAGAATATTAACTTCTGTGGTGTTAAACTTCTGGTAGGTTGCTGTGGTGTTTTGATATTTTACTCTTTCTTAGAGCTGCTGTGCACGTTGTGTCTTTGTCCAGTTTGAGAATATTCATGACTTTTCCAGTCTCGTAATAATTTTCATTCAGCAGAGTTTGCCCTAAGCAGATTAGCAACTCCTGGCATGTGTTTCTGTGTCAGCCGTGCTTTCTTTCATATTGATATCCATGCACTCAAAATGCAGGAGTTCCGTAGGATGCTCCTGTCAGCTGCAGTCCAACAGATGCTCACAGAGGACTGCACAGCCACAGGAGTCAGAATTCAGGTTTTTTTAGCTAATCAAACCTTTTCTGATTTACACAAATGGTTAAACTAATGGACATTTGGTTTTTAAATTTCAGAAATCACATGATGGCAGTGATCCGTGCAGGCCATTCCAGAGCGGCATCTCATCCAGTGCACCGAGTGTTCCCTATCGGACAACCAAGAGTGTGGATTCCAGTGAGGAGAGCTGCTCTGACTCTGAGGATGACAGCTGCCTGTGGAAACGGAAGCGACAGAAGTGCTTCAACTTCCCTCCTGCCAAACCCGAGCCCTTCCAGCTCAACCAGAGCCACCAAAAACAAACTGCGCTGCACGGCAAGAAGGTCAACAACATCTGGGGTGCAGTGCTCCAGGAACAGAATCAAGATGCAGTAGCCACTGAGCTTGGAATTCTAGGCATGGATGGCAGCATTGACAGGAGCAGGCAGTCTGAGACTTACAACTACCTGTTGGCTAAAAAGCTGATGAAGGAAGCTCAGCAAAAGGAGGCAGAGACTTTGGATAAGGAGCTGGATCAATACATGCATGATGACAAGAAGACATTGCCAGCAGAAGGGGAAAACGGGCAAGGCTTTCTCAAAAGGAAGCGCCCCATGAAAGATAGACTGGGTGAAAGGCAAGAAATGAAATACAAAGGAAGGTATGAGATAACAGAAGAAGATTCAGAGGAAAAAGTAGCAGATGAAATTGCTTATCGGTGAGTTTGATAACAGTGTGTCTTCACTTCCCTAAGTATTGGTAGTTGATGGAAAAGAAGAGTGAGGAAAAGCTGCCTTACTGGTAAATTTGTAAGATGTCCTATATTACATGTCAGATTACAAAAGGCATGAGTGCCTTATGTGTATTTCCAAATACTGGGATAAAAATGCAGCACTGTGGCTGGTATCTTGTAAAAACATCCAGTTAATAATGTCTATTTATTTTAATTTTTATATATTTTTTAAAGATCCACGAAAACAGTCTGTTATTTGAGGACAATAGCAAGGAAAAATATTCCTTCTTGTTATAGAGATTTAGTAGTGGAGTTTTTTTTAGGAAATACCCCATGAGCAAAGATTCTTGTTTGGAGTTGGCCACCAGTGCAAACGTGCTGTAGTCACCATGAAAATCTGTCTAAGTTATAAACCTTTAAATCTGTAGATTTAAACCTTTGAATCTGAGATAAACTGCAGTGTTTTAGAAAACACAAGCTTCTGAAATACACATGTTTTCTACATGGAATATATTTGTCTGAAAAAACCTTTTGCTGCTGTTGTAACCAAGGGCTACACCAGTGTCAGGCACCAGCACTGAAATGAGTCCTGGCCTCTTTCTGCAGTTCTATGCTAATTTATGGTCACCAAGCTCCAGCCATGAGCACCCTTACCACCATCCAGTCCTTTTCACAATCCTGCTATTTGGTTATTGTCCACTGAGCTGACTCAGAAAAATTATCTGTCCAAAAGCTTGTTGATTTTTTTTTTTTTGGAAGAGTTAACTTGTAAACAGATTTGTTTCCTGAACCAATTTGCTGCACCATTTCCTGACAGCAGTGGATTGATGGTGTGAGGGAGGGCCCATGGCTGCAGGTCACTCTTGGTTAGATTGAGTTGAACTGCCACAATCCTTTTTCAGTGGTGCAAGGGAAAAAACATAAGTTAAATAGGGAACAAGACTTGGAAGATTTACTGACAGTTAGCATGACATTTAAATAAAACCTGGATTTTAAATGGTTTCAAACCATTGTTGTCTTCATACATGTGCTACTTATTTCAGCAACTGCCATTCCTACAGCAATTAGACAATTATTAATGCTGTTTACAGTTCTTGTTAGGTTCTCATTTATTAATTTGGAAACTTTGAGCATGTCTCTTGTAATAAGCTCCTCTTTGCTGTATTGAGATTTGTTGAAATAGGACAGAAAGCTCTTTTTTTTTTAACTGTTTGTAGCAATGGCATTGTATCACTAGTGTTGAAGTTACAGTGTAATTTTTTTCTTATTTGCTTTTTATAGGTTATAGATCAGTCAACAGACTGATTGTTATGTAGGCTTGTCTGAATGGCACATGATACAGGGGAAATTTACACTTCCTGTTTTCTCCAGTTCTTGATTTAACTATAAAAATTAATTTTAACTGTTAAATGCGCAACGCACTTTTATACTTTAATTTCAGAGGTTTGTACATGTCTTTGCAGTTTCATATTTGGTTTACTGTTTCATGCATCAGTAGAAGAATAATCACTCAATGTATTTCCATTGAAACAAATTTTAAAAATGCATGCTTTAGGGAAAAAAATCCTTCAGAAGCTCAGTATTCTGATTCGATATCTGATTCAATCATATCTGATTCAATAAACCACTGAAACACATTTGAATGTATAGACTCTTGAGCGCATTTTTACGTCCCACAGAGTGAATTATTCATTATGGAAGTTCCACAGTCAGTTTTTACTAAGAAAACATCTTGACAATAAATGTGCCTTTTTTTTTCCCCACTCTGTTCAGACTTTGTGAGCCAAAGAAAGACTTAATTGCTCGAGTGGTGAAAATAATTGGGAAGAGAAAAGCGATTGAGCTGCTTATGGAAACAGCTGAAGTGGAGCAAAATGGTGGACTGTTCATAGTGGTAAGAAAAATGTCACTTTTGGGGTTTGCCAGAGGGCAAGGAGGGCAACAGAACTCTTGACTTGTAGAACATTTACACAATGCTGTTGTAGCTCTCTCACACTGGGAGAACCTCTCCCAGAATTTTATGACCTTCCCTTGCCATGAAACTCCCTCAATAAACACTAATGTAACTGTACAGCAGGTTTTGAGTAAACAATAAGGTGAGTGAACCTGAAAATCATGCAGTTTTTTTGCCAAGAATGGTATCTGATTTGAAGTTCCCTCTCTGGAATGGAAGCTGTTGGCTTTATCAGAGAACTATTGGCCTGTTCAACAGTATTGATACGCTGAGTACTGATTGCTGTTACAAATCATGGTAGAAAATCCTATACTCAGTGGTTAGGTTATCAATTTCTTGGTGTGTTTTTGTTCTTGTTAAATAATGAGCTTCAGTGCAGAAGCAAAGAAGGAAAAAAGTGGGTGAGAACTAGTAAATACTTTCAGACACTTGTTTACAATTCACAGCTTTTAAGTTCTGTCACTGGAAGTAGAGAAGAGGGGAAAAATGAGTAGGGGCACACAAAAAAAACTAAACAAATTGAAAAATACCATCACCTCCTCCCCTGAAAAAAAAAGGCAACAAATTCCACCTATCAAATTGTATTAGAAGCTATTCTGTTGTCTTGAAAGAGTAAAGTACTTGTTAATAAGTGTTTACAGAGAAGATGAAAGGACATAGCTCCTGATGGCACAGGTTCCTTTGGATGCAGATCAGAGTACACTCTTCGAAAGGCAGATGATAAAAGGAGGTGGCATCTGCTGTTTCAAGAACCTACTTAAAAATTGACCTTCTCTGTTCTTAGAATTTTTAGATTGTTTTTTGCATTGTTATTTAGCAGAAAGGTATCACATTTTACACAGTATCATCCAGGTTTTACTGGAATAAAGGTTCAACTTTATACTAAAAAATTGTAATTGAATAACAGTGTGATAATTCGCACTTATAATTTACAGAGGTTTCAAAGCTGAGCCCATTCCGTGATTTATTACAACACATTGCACATTGCAGTGTTGTAACACTGAAAAGCTGCTTGGAACTAATATGTGGTGGGAAGAAATTTTGAAGTACATGTTGTGTTTCGTATGCCTTAGGCAGAAATGCAGAATCCTTTGGACATGCAGATAAGATGTCACATTGCTGAGCACAATTATTAAAAAACTTGAGATCAACATAATTTTATTAAATTGACTTTTCACTTTTTACTGGGGTTGTGTGTTAGGAATGCTCTGAATATTTAACCTAGTGTGTACACCTTGTTGCAAATAGTGAGAATATTACTCGCATTTTGTTTCTTTACTACCAAAATCAGATTTAGTGTGGAGTTCAACAGTTTGGCATTACATCCTAAAGGAATTTTTTTGTAACTTCAGAGTTTACCTGTCCATATTTTGTCTTTCTCATGACTAGTTCAGTCACAAATAAGACACAGATAGGGCTATTTTTATGTAATTCCTAAAATATCAGAATTTAAATTTGCTTTATTCTGTCTGAATACAGTATTAAGTGTTGCCCTAGAAGCTATTTTTGTCAACACTTAGTACTAATCTTACTGTTTCTAATTTCCTCTCTCCTGTTAAGAATGGCACCAGGAGAAGAACACCTGGGGGTGTTTATTTAAACCTGCTGAAGAACACACCTAGCATCAAAGAAGAACAAATCAAGGTAAAAATGTCAAGAGTGCAAAGGAGTTGTCCAAAGTTGGGGATTTTTTTCAACTAGAAATGTTATTATTGAAACTGTCTCTAGCAAATTTAACTCTATATTCTAAATAAACCACCCTTTCACACTCAAAATGCAGTCAAAAAAAAGACCCACCTAAAAATTGTTGAATTGCCATTCACACTGGGCAGGGAGAGCTCACTTTTACAGGCTGCCAGTCACAAAAACCTGCTGAGAAGGATGAGACTGAAGAGATAAATGTTGGATTTTCCTTAATCTGGATATACCTTAGAGCAATATTATTCATGTTTTGTTTCTCCCTTTGGAGCTCTGTTTCATTGTGTATGGTTTGAATGGAGTTCTCTTAATAGAGAATTTTTTTCCTATTTAGCTCCAGCTGTGCCGTCAGACAGTATTTCTCATTAAATCAGATAATGGTCTGAACTGGTCACTGGCCTCATTTGTGGTGCTCACCAAATAAGTTATGTAATCTTGTAAATATTACTGTCTTTCCTTTTAGGGTATGAAATAGACTGAGATAGTATTTTCTTCATTGAATTAGGAGAACTTCTAGGGTTTTTTCATGGCATTTGCCACTTTCATATGAAGTTTTTTTAGAAGAAAGACTCATTTATTTTGCTTGTAGGTGGCTGCAGCTGATCGCTCTATAAACCATCCTAGCATCTTGTATTTGGAATTGGGAAATAAGTCAACATACATTGTGATTGTCTGGTTTATGTTTGGAGAAAAAAAACAGGGAAAAAAGTACCCACCATCCTTTCGTTGCTTGCTGTGGTCACAAAAAGTTAAAAAGTTGCAAATTTGATCACTTTATTCCAAAAAAAAGAGGATTGATGCGGTTCATAAATTGTTGAGAGTAAAGATCATGAGACGTGGACTCAAATTTCAATTGTGGAGGAAAGTTTTCTCTGGTTGTCTCAGAATCTTTGGTTGTATTTTCTTTACAGGTCCCTCTATATGGCAGCACAACCGCCTGGTCTGCCACCCATTCCTCCCAGTTTTGTACCACCAGCAAAATTCAAAATGAAAACTTACTGATATGTATACTCTCAGACTGCTGAGAAGTTATGTAATAAAATTATTTATGGAGAATTTTACCTAAGTCTATTTTTTTACCTAAGTCTATTTACCTGCAGTCTATTCTCATACTTCTTCTATAAATAAAGCATTGTGCTGGTTTAAAAGTTAACCAGCAGGGGAAATGAACTCAACTCAAAAGAGAGATTATAAATCAGAATAACAATTTAATAAAATAATACAATAAGTACGATTATACAGACAAACAATTGGTTTTAGCCCACAAAACCCAAATGTATAACCCAGCACCCTGGGACATGAACAGAGTGGTGTTCTTTGGGCCCCCTGAGTCCAAAGGAAAAGGAGAGGGGAAAACCTGTTGATGAGAGTGCTGTTGCAGTCTGGTCAAGAGTGGTGATTGCAGTCCAGTTGAGGGTGGTGAGCTGCAGTCTGGTTGAGAGCGGTGAGCTGCAGTCTTCCTCTGGATCCCACGAGTGGTAACAAGGTTCAAAAACTCCAAGTTTATATATTCTCCAGTTCAGGCAGGAATGGTCAGTCCTTCCCTCAGAGCGGGGAATTCCATAAAAGGGTATGAGGACAGGAACATCTTCCTATCTCGCAGGCCTCTACTGACAACAGTTTCTGGGAAATGGCATGGAGGGCCACAGAATACACAGTCCTGGGCTACACCCATCCAGTGATGAATTGGTCCCAGCTGTTCTAACTAGGACAAGCCTGTAGCTTAGTTAAATATTGACCAGTATTTGTAATAAATTTTTCTTTTTACTTTACATTTAGGAAATACTAGTAAAATGAATGTGCCAAACTTTTTTTTGTTTGCCTTTTTTTTTTTTCTCTCAAGGAAATATTCTATCTGGAAAACCAAAAGGAGTATGAAAACAAAAAAGCTGCCAAGAAGAGGAGAATGCAAGTTCTAGGAAAGAAGATGAAGAAAGCCATTAAAGGGCTTAACCTGCAGGAATATGATGATGCATCTCGTGAGACTTTTGCTAGTGATACAAATGAGGCTCTGGCTTCCCTGGATGATCTGCAGGAGGGGCATCATGAAGCAAAGATGGAATCTGAAGATATTATTGAAATTGATAACGCTCATGATTTGGAGATCTTCTAGTTGCTAAAGTTCTTGATAACAGTGTCTCTAGGAAACATATTAAATGAGCCTTTCTTATAATCCCATGTTTTCATAAGCTGCAGAAACATGGGAAATATTTGATGCTGAAGAGCAGGATATGATTCTTAGCTAAATTTAACAGCATGAAAGACTTTTAATTGTCCTAGTATTTGTTTGCTGAGTCCTCAGAAACTGTTAAGATTTTCCTAGATAACAGCCCTGCATCACCATGTTTGTTCTTTTGGAAATTTTTTTTAGTCACGTTAGGTTAAGGAATTAAGGCTGTGTTTTAACCAAATACTTCACATTTAATTTGCTGAATCTAACAAAAGTGAATAAGTGAGCAAAGCTGCTCACTACAGTTGAACAGAAAAACACTAATTATAAAGTTAATCTGGATATAAAATATCATATAGTCTTAACGTGGCAGTGTGTTGACAGAAACAGTATTTATAGGATTAAGACCTGTAAAACAGATTGGTTTGAGAAATACACTTAATTTCAGTGGTCAGTGACCTTTGAATAACAACCTTGTAAATAAGCAATACTGAGCAACGTATGTTTTAGATTTCTACAGCAGTTTTATCCTTTGTATTTTAATAGTGGCTTCAGCTTCCTACTCATTTTGTCTAAACGTTTTCCATGATGAGACATGCAACTCATATGGATCTTTTTGTTTGAGGACAAATCTAACTGAATGCTTTCTGACTAGTGAGATTTTACTGCACTGTGTTCCCCCCAAGGGTCTGTACACTGCACATGCAGATACAAACCCTTTACCTTGCAATTCTTGTTCCTGTCCTTCTCCCATGTGCTGTAAGATAATGTGCAGCTTTCAGAAGATTTGATGTTTTTTGATGGAGACTCTTAAGAAAACAATACAAAAGGGGATTTTTTTTTACTTGATTTAGAAGACTCTTGTGTAGGTTGTAAGTTTATTTGAAGACAATTTTTATTGTTGAATGTTGTTTTTAATATAGCCAAACATGTGCAACACTGATATTTATGATGTTTAAAATTCTTTGTCACTAATAAGTTGTGGGTTTTTCGTGACTAGACGCTATTTTCCAGTAAAAAACATTTCTGAAAGATTACTGAATTAATTCACTTTCAACCCTGTCATAGGTTTAAAAAGAGATGTTGGAAATTTTTTTTCCTAAGGTCCCGTTTCCCCCACACACACAGCCCTGCTCCCTTCCCCCCATCTGTTTCTTCTGAGATGGGAGGAATTGAGGAGGAGGTGGGACGGAGCGAAGCCGCACTCCTCACGGGAGTTGGAGGAAGGGAAGAGCAGTTCCTTGGAAGAGCAGTTGCCGGGGCATGGCTGGGGAGTATTTTTTTGTCCAGAGGTTTTCTGGTTTTGTCAGCCGACCGGACAGAGGGGGCTGGGGGGGCAGTTTCAGCCACCTCCTTTTCTTGAGAAGAAGATTTTTTTTTCCCCACGGGACACCTCACGGAGAACGACTGAGAGAGAGAGACCGACCCATCTCAGGGTGAGGTATTCTGCCTTCGGGACTGCCTGTGGGAAAAAGGAGCCTTTCACTGCTGGCTGTGAAGCCATCGGGCTGCGAGCACACGTGGCTGCGAGCAGCCTTTGAACTGCCGGGACAGTCCTGCCTCCCCCGTTCCCAAACCTTCCCTAACCTTCCCTTCCCAAACCTTCCCTTCCCAAACCTTCCCTTCCCAGACCTTCCTAAACCTTCCCAAACCTTCCCAGACCTTCCCAAACCTTCCCTTCCCAAACCTTCCCTTCCCAAACCTTCGCTTCCCTTCCCAAACCTTCCCTTCCCTCCCCTGCCCAAGGTTGCCGCGGTATCTTTTCCCACACCATCTGGGGAATTGGGACTTTGTTTTGTTTCTTCTCAAAGTTTTGATTGCACTATTTGTCGTTTATTCAGATTTTGGTGATAAAAGGCTGTTCTTTTCCACACTTCCACCTGAAGTTTCTTAATTTCTAAGTTATAATCTTGTTACACTAAGACAAACCCAATTTCTGCATATCAGTTTTGTTCACCTGGAGTCCCTGGATTTCAGAAGGAAAGCATAGCACTAAAACAAATAATGAAGTTATAATAGGGAACAATTCAGTACTGTCAAGAGTGTATATTTAAAGGATTGCAGCATTTGAAGAAGTAGTTCTTACACATACAGCACATTCCATTACCTGCTTTACTAATTTAATTAGGATTTTGAATTTTCTGCTTTTTTCTGTTCACATACCAGAGCTCCTAATTTTTAAAGTTACTCATCAGATGAGCAGCATATCTTCACTGGTAGAAGTTGCTTTTGCTGAAATAACAAAGTTTTGTATTTGTTCATGGAATTTCCTGACAAATCTATAATCGTCAGAGTACTAAATGATAACTCATTGTACTGTTTAATTGCTTTAGGACTGCACGATTTTATATTGGTTTAGAGAACTGCGTGGGGATGTATTAACCTTTTTCTGGATAGAATCAGCAAATTTTAATGTTGGTTTAAGCAAATTTTTTATTGTTATGTAATTTGCACTGTATATTTTTTAATGCTAGTACTTTTAATGTTGATTTCCCAGGTAAGAGGTAGCGAAACAATATGTGAAGTGTTCTCTTTAGCAAAAGGAAGATGATGCAGACATGCAGACATTAAGCTATTAGGGAGGGTCCAAAGGAGGGACAGTGAGGATGGGGAAGGGTCTGGAGGGGACGCCTTATGAGGAGTGGCTAAGAGCACTTGGCATGTTCGGCTGGAGGAGACTGAGAGGAGACCTCATTGCAGTTACAACTTCCTCACAAGGGGAAGAGGAGGGGCAGTCTCTGCTCTGTGGGGACCAGGGACAGGACCTGAGGGAATGGCCTGATGTTGTGTCAGTGGAGGGTTAGGTTGGATATCAGGAAGAGGTTCTTCCCCCACAGGCTGATTGGGCTCTGAACAGGCTCCCCAGGGCAGTGGTCACAGCACCAAGGCTGTGAACTCGATGATCCTTGTGGATTCCTCCTAACTCAGCATATTCTGTGATTCAGTTTCCTTTCAGTGTCTGACCAACCTTTGCTTGCTTATCTTGTGTTTTTTCTTTATTTGGCTTTCAGCAGAGTCCTTTTAAAAGTAAACCAGTTCAAAATGATGAGCAGCTAAATTCTTCATTCCTGTTTTCACCAGTGATTTCCATTTCTTTGGTATTAAAAAGCTTAATTAAGGGCTGGTGCTCCCCTCTCCGTCCTGGCAAAGACCCTTGCCCTCCTCCCTGGGATGCAGCTGCAGTGCCCACACCATGGCAGAATTTGGGGCCTGTGTCAGCAGTCTTTGAGCTGGAGCTGAGGAGCCCAGTCTGGTGCTCAGAATTTAGATGAGAAAACAGTGATTTTTTTTTTTGTATTGCCACAAAAAATAATTTATTAATGATTTAGTTTTACTGTGGATCTTCAAAGCATTATTTGAAGTATAACTGCAATATTACAGACTTTCCTCCCCCTTCCAAATAAGATGATCTCATTAAGATGTTTTTATGTCTTCCAGGCTTATTAAAATTAACTGCTTTTGTCAAAATTCTCAAGCAAGCATGGAATGACCCAGTGCAAGGTGATAGAAAAAGGAGATGATTGCATTAATTATGACAATTCCTGTTATAGAGAAGTCAAATTCCTTGTATTTTGTTAGAATATAGGTGTAAGGAGTAGACTGGATAATAAAGAAAATACTGAGTTTTTTAAAAGCTGTTTTTATCTGTCGTGAAACTTCAGTATGACAACCCTCATTACTTATCCCCTCAGCTTGGGCCATCCTACAATTAAGAAGAGTCCATCAAAAGCTCTTTATTTCAATGTACAGAAAAGAATTCATTACTCCTGTGAACACAAGCTTGCTTGGTGTCCCACTCTTATTGGTCAGCAGCACTTCAAAAGATTTCAGAACGTTAGTAGTTTCAGAACCACTGTGGTACTTCAGTGTTTAGAAAGGACATATTTGAAGATTTCTCATCTGTCTATTTGCAGTAGTGAGAGATGCCACTTTTTGAGAACTGTGGGAGCAACACTCAGCTGTGATAGGTTCAGTAGGGCCCAGCAAAATACATTTCCAGAATCACAAACTCTTGACCTATATACTGACAAAAATGAGAAATGAGTATCTGAAGTTGTAGCAGGAGACTTACACACAAGTTAGCTATTCTAGTTACTACCTTTTAGGTTGTTTTATTAATTATTATTATTACTATTATTATTTTACTAATATTTTTATTATTTAAAGTTCCTTAAAGAAAAAAAAGCAACACAACATTTTTGTACTGTTAAATAAGTACAGAAAATCTTTTCTTGCCATGAAAATTTTCCTCAGAAAAAAAAATGTTTCATTTCTTTTCCCTTGAAAACTTGTTACTGATTCAGAATACCAGAATGGTTTAAAATGTCATCCCTTTGAAAAATATTCTCATTTTTCTGCAGAAGTTGCACTTTTTTTAGTTTGCCACTCGGGTTTTTCATTTGTTCCATTAGATGTTTTTATTGGGTTTTTTTCCAAATAATTGTACATATTTTACACTTGCTGTTTAGTTACCACTAATGAGTTTTGCACTGACAGCTTTCAACCACTGGAATGTCTTTATTCAGAACTGGCTGAAATACATACTGGGTCTCTGAAACACAGAAGACCATTCCTTCCTGGAGCACCAGGAGAGACCTTGCCATGGAGACAAAAGAAAAGCCTTGGGAAATTTTAATTGCTGATATCCTAGCACGTTCCCATGTTTCCAGATGTTGGGCAACTGTTTTTATTTCTTACAAACAACCTGGAACAGAACAGTATGTAATGTTTAAATGACATACAAAATTGTACCAAGCTGTTGTGTGGACTATTTGTCCTAGTTAGGACAGCTGAGACCAGTTCATCACTGTGTGAGTGTAACCCAAAACTGTGTATTCTATAGCCTTCCATGCCATTTCCCAGAAACTGTTATCAATGAACCATTTACACCATCTGCACATAGATACTGGGAGTGGTCCACAGACCACCGGGAGCAGAAATGCATGAAGATCTCTTCCCCTCCCATGCCCACCACAGGAATTGTGGCCCTCAAGCTGGAAGATCAGATTTGTATTGTTGATCCTTGGTTTATTTCACCTTAATTCCTCATCCATGCTGGGGTAGCGAGCTGATTTTTCAGAGAACTTGCTTACTGAATGACAGAGGCAAGAACAAAACATGATTTCAGTCCCTGAAGCTAAATGGAAACAAGCAACTATTAATTTTCTGTGGTTAACTTTAGGGTGTTCCTGCAGGGATGTGGGGAAACTTCAAGTGTTATTTTATGAGCCAAATTATTCTATGAAAGGCAGTTATTAATGAAAGTTATTGGGTCAGATCACTCTTGCTGAAGCACTGAGGACCTGTTCAATAAATCTCTGCATCCTACTATGGATCCTTCTTTCCAAAATCATTTGTCCTGTACATACCCATGCAAACTAAGAGATGCATGTGGTTCATCAGAAAGACATTGCTGGTAAGAGAACCCCCCCAGTTCTCCTGAACTGTGGGGCTGCATCAGCACCTCAAAACACCAATGTCCCCACTAAAACCCTATGCACTGGGGGGCTGCCCTCTTACTTTCTGCTGGCACCCACAAGAAGAATGTTTATAATGATGTTACAGGTAATTTCAAAGGTAACAACCTGCTGTTGGGGTTTTGGAGTGCTGATGCAGCCCCACAGGGCAGAGAGCCCTCTCATTCTCTTCCTCCCCTACTCTAGTCTGGAAGTGTAGGAACAGTGTGGTTTATTCACATGCAGTGTTCTTACAGGTATCTGGAGGGTTTAGGGTCTGGGAGGTTTCTAACCTTCCTCTGGAAAACGATTTAGTGTTTTTTTGGTGTGAAAGTGCCTCATTTCCAGCAACCCATGGAGATTGTTATCACCAATTATCAAATAATTATTCTGCAAAAATATTTTTATAGTGTTTGTACCCCAAAAAGAGCAGTTGGGATGGAAGGCCAACCTTCTCCAGGCAGGTCTGGGATACGGGCTGGCCATAGTGGGGCAACTAGGGCCTTAGGGAGACCCCAGATTTTTGCCCCTTACATTAGGGGA